AAAAAAACCGACTTCAACTGTCATATAAAAAAGATATATATATATATATCATGATCCACTGATCGGATCTTAACCAGATTAGTACGGGACCACTTCTGAGACACTGCCTTTCCGCAAAAAAGAATTATCGAAATCGGTTGACGTGGTCCAAAGTTATGCGGTAACATACAGAAAAAAATAAAAAAATAAAAAAAAAATAAATAAAAACAAGTAATTTTTAGCAAAAAAAAACCGACTTCAACTCCCATATAAAAAATATATATATATATATCTCATGATCCACTGATCGGATCTCAACCAGATTAGTATGGGACCACCTCTGAGACACTACCTTTCCGATGCAAAAAGAATTATCGAAATCGGTTGACGTGGTGCAAAGTTATGCGGTAACATACATTAAAAAAAAAAAAAAATAAAAAAATATTCCGACGAACTGATAACCTCCTCCTTTTTTGGAAGTCGGTTAAAAAAAATATTCCGACGAACTGATAACCTCCTCCTTTTTTGGAAGTCGGCTAAAAAATTTTCCGACGAACTGATAACCTCCTCCTTTTCTGGAAGTCGGTTAAAAAGTGTACGGTAACCAAAAAATTTGCAAGAGAGCACTAAATCGAGAGCGTAACAACGCGGGAGAGCTGCAAATTCTTGCAGAAATTTGCTAGCAGAAGAAGAAGAAGAAGAAGAATAAATTTCAAAAGCCGCCATTTGTTGAATTAGTTTAGCACAAACAAAAGTAAAATGAGTGGAAATCAAAATATTAATGATGTACTGGACTGTGTAAGGCTTGTGCGTAGAGCAAAGAGTTTAAAACTGATTTATAAATAGTAAAATGTTTACAGCAGAATATCAAAACGGTGCAACAACTATTCACTTGCAAGTTTTTACTAGTTTTGTGTTCAATAACTTTTTCTGCTAGTTTAATCTTTGTCTCACTTTTACGCTCTGTTTTGCTTTTACGCTCTCGCTGCAATGTTTTACTGGAGAAGTTACTATACAAACCTATTATGTCCCCTTTCAGACACGTCAAGTCTTGAAAGCAATTTTTTTCGCATTCTCTTTTATGTTTTCTATTTGCTTCCACACGCGTCGACTTTAATTGAATTCAAGTCCTTGGTTCTTTAAATGGGAAGCAACGAAAAGATCAAAAGAGACAAGAAAACTTGAAACGAATTGACGGTACGGAGGTATCTGTACTCTTCCCCTCTCTTCTCACCTCCTTCGCCTACGAACGAGCAGACTTTAAAGCAAGACTTGACGTGTCTGAAAGGGGACCATTGATAATGACAATGGCATTTTAAGGCGTTTTTGTGGTTAGGTTTGTATGGGAGGTATGCATTAAAATAAATCAATCACGCCCATTTTTCGCCTTTTCTTGATTTATGGACAATTTTAGCCCTACGTCAAATTTTTCTACATTTTTTCAATAAATTTATAGGGTGTGTTACCGGGCACCAGTGTGTTGGGGGAATGAAGAGAAAATAAGTTCTATATCTATGCTATTTGTATAACTATGCGGATCGTGTTCAAGATGGTTTGATTAATCGAGCCAGTCTTGAAATTTCCTTTTCCTGGAAATTCTGGGATACAAATCATATCTCACGACGTGGTCAATGCTTTTGGAAAATTTTGACTAAATCAGAAAGAAAAGAAAATGTTTTTAACCGACTTCCAAAAAAGGAGGAGGTTATCAGTTTTTCGGAATATTTTTTTTTTTTTTTGTTTTTTATGTATGTTACCGCATAACTTTGGGCCACGTCAACCGATTTCGATAATTCTTTTTGAAGGTAGTGTCCCAGAGGTGGTCCTGTACTAATCCGGTTAAGATCCGATCAGTAGATCATGAGATATATATATATATATTTTTTTATATGAGATTTGAAGTTGGTTTTTTTTTGTTAAAAATTACTTGTTGAAGTAAAACTTTTTTAGCGGCGGTTGTTTGGTTGGGAGTAAATTTGCAAATTTATCGGAAATGATTCACACCGAAATGGTTGGGACAGAAATTATTGCAACGGAAACAAATGCTTTTTAATAGTATCCCTATTAGGGTGGTCCAAAATAAGTAAAGTGAGCAGAAAAGCGTGTTACTCAGGTGTACGGGGCGTATGAGTAACTTTCTTTCCTGCTCATTTTTCATGCAAAAAATCTTTGCGTATTTTCATTTGACCACTCATTATTTCTCATTTATTCATCGAGTTCCTTCATTAGTAGCTTGATTTTTGTTTGTAACAGAACAGATGCTAAATTTTGGCACAGAACCTGTTATTTTTTAAACTTTTCATCTGTTAAATTTTGATTTTTTTCTTTTTTTCATTAAAAAATAAAAAAAAAATGGAATGATTAATTAATTTGTCAGAAACAATAAGTCCTATTGGAAAGTGATGTATATACGGTTTATGGAGAATTTTGTTAGCTCTCATTTGCCGTACTTTATGTTAAGATTGTTACATTGGTTCGTAAGATATGCGTGATTAAATTTTTGCTTTAACCAGAATAACGGTAAATTGGAAATATCTTGAAAACGTATCTATACAAAAGATTAACTCCATTTTCGGAATCACCGAGCATTTCTACATAGTAATTGGATAGTGGCATCCGCAGAACAGTTTTGCTGTAAAGCAGGGTTATTATTAGTCCTTTCAGTATAAATAACAATTTATCTTTCTTAACTAGATGCGCATACGTTTTTCAATTGCTTTCAAAATAACTTGGTGTAAATACAGTAGTCCCCATTACCAGGGGATTCAATTAATTGATAGTCTTTTAATTAAAAAATTCGTTCAATTTAGACAACCTAACCAATTAAAAGAAAACGCATAAATGCAACTGAAGTATTTATTTCACTTTGAAAAAGATCTTTCCATAACAGAAAAGTGAAGCTAAGAAGTAATGCCAGATTGTGTGTAATTTCCCTATTTGAGTGATATTTTGCAGCAAAAATGATTAAAAGGGAAAAGGGACATTTCAAATATAACAGGAATTTTCATTTAAAGCAACTAATAATAATTCCCGAAAATCGGGGTGCTCGTGGTCTTAAAAATGTGAATATTTCTTTATACTAAAAACCACATGCATTGCTTTTGGTAGTTAACTTTAACTTTAGTATTTTGGCAAGATCATACTCTACTCAATACGTATAAAAAGCTGGCCATGCGGGGTCTGACTTTGAGACGTTTAAATGCAAATGGAAATTTTGATTTGCTAGACCCCTTGCGAATCACATTTTTGAAGTCCATTAACGAACCCTTTATATATACATATTGCTATTACGGTGTCCAAACCATTCTATTGTTGTTCTTTAACTATTAGACGAGACTATTAACCAGAGCTGTGTAAGTGTGAAATCATTTTCAATTTTAAATCAACAATTTTTTTCTATCCAGTTTTCATTACTTATTCTTCGCTTAGGATTGAGGTTTAAAATTTTTGAATTTTCCATTCTCTCAAAGCAGTTATGAATTCACACATCAACATATTCATAGCAAGATTGAAAAAACCAATGCCCAATCAAAAAAAGGTTTAACACTGAATGAGTATTGAAAAGGCTGCAATCTTTTATGTGTGTGCATTCTTTAACTCAGTACCAATCATTAGTTCAAAGACACCCTGGTAAATAACTTTTTGATAAAAAGGAAGATTTTTGACAATTGCTCAATTGTAAAAATTCAAACCGGCGTTACCCAATTTAAGTTTTTTGGTAGAGGGGATTTTATATCATCTGTTTGGGATTATATATAAAACAGTTGTAACGGGTGATTTTTTTGAGGTTAGGATTTTCATGCATTAGTAT